CGAAAACCAGTGTCGGAAACTATGTGCATGGTCAAACACTCGAGTTGATGACGATGTGAAAACTCTGAGGAAATCGAGGTCAAATGAGTGTTGGTTTCTGTACACTCTTACACGAATTCGTCTATAAACTCCTGTGATTAGTGAGGAAGCTTATAAGCTCGGTTGAAAAAACGCGCACATTTATTTCTATTGATAACAACAGGAAGACTGTATGCTTTGTATTTGATATTTCTGTTTTATCCTATCTCGACACGCCGTATACTTCATAGAGAGACGAAGTATGAAAGTTTCGGTATTCGAATGGTTGCATAAGAAAATTAGAACTCTCTGTAAAGGTAAGTTTTCACTGTATCAGGTGGATGAAAACATGCGATGAAGAAGGCGTTGGACATTCGCCGGGCTGTAGAATGTTGGAGGTTAGCACTTCGATGATGTCATCTTTTGAGATGGTGTTTAGGTATTGGGTGATCCTGTGAAGATTCAGCAATGGGTGGTATGCAGTTTGCCGCAGGACACATTATCGGTTGAAAATGCTATTATTATTGATACTAGTAGCCGTTGGCCGCTTATGATAGACCCGCAGAGGCAGGCAAATAAATTTATAAAAAATCTCGGAAAGCAATCAAGTGAGGCGGGAATTGAAAGTTGCAAGTTGAGCGATCCGAATTTTCTGCGGACACTTGAATTGGGTATACAATTTGGGAAGTGGATTTTGCTGGAGAATGTTGGGGAGGAGCTCGATCCAGCATTGGAGCCAATTTTGCTGCAGCAGAAGGTGAAGGATGGCTCCGGTTACGTTATGAAATTGGGTGATAAAACGATTAATTACATGGAAACGTTTAGACTGTTTATTACTACTACGTTGCCGAATCCTCATTATTCGCCTGAGACATCGGTGAAAGTGACTTTGCTGAATTTCGCTATCACAATGGACGGTTTGGTGGAGCAGATGTTGGGAATTGTGGTTGCTAAGAGCGCCCGATTTGGAGGAAAAAAGGCGAAGTTGTTGAGACATGCGGATATGGCTAAGCAGTTGAGGATTGAAGATGAGATTTTGAGGTTGTTGGCGTCGAGTGAAGGGGATATTTTGGAGGATGAAAC